GGTCGACAGTTTACCTGTTGGTTGTTTGCCGTATATAACTAGACACTGGTCGACAGTTTACCTGTTGGTTGTTTGCCTTATATAACTAGGCACCAGTAGACATTTTACCTGTTGGTTGTCTGCCGTATATAACTAGATACCAGTTGACAGTTTACCTGTTGGTTGTCTGCCGTATATATAACTAGACACCAGTCGACAGTTTACCTGTTGGTTGTCTGTTGGGCATGGATCCTCTCTTTTATTTGTAATTGTTCTTAATGATAGTATTGAAAGGAGTCTCAGAGGTGATCCCGTCACATAAAAAAAAATCCCTCAAGGTCAATACACTTCATCAACCATTTCCTTTTGAATATCTGGACACACACTTCGATGTGTTCAGTCTGTACAGTAGATGATACTAAAGCCCCCTTGTGTACCAACAATGTTTCCTTTTTTGGTTCTTTTTAGCAAAACCTTTCATCTCACTTACTTATACCTGGGTAAACAGAATGGCTATTAAAAACCTCTTGGTACCAGTGTCCCAATTCAGGTTACAGTGATTGAGCAAGCTTTATTTTTTACTATTTTAGCAAAGGGATGCATACATTTTTTTCTCATGCTCAAGCATGGGTTTTGTGCTCAAGCCTAATTCCTTGTTCTGTTAATAAATTAATGAAGAAATTTTGTTTTATCATTGATTTGGAAAAATTGAAGAGACTTAAAGCTTAATACTGTTATCAATGTTTACATTTGTCATGATTTAAATGAGTGATAAGAAAGTTGGTTTGAAGCCAAAATCCATGCTTGAGCATGAAAACGGTTTCATGAATACAGACCCTGACGTGGGCTGTTCCAATCCACTCACCATCTGATATTGACTGTTCCAATCTGTCCACCATCTGATGTGGACTGTTCCAATCTGTCCACCATCTGATGTGGGCTGTTCCAGTCTGCCCACCATCTGATGTGGGCTGTTCCAATCCACCCAGCATCTGATGTGAGCTGTTCCAATCCACCCACCATCTGATGTGGGTTGTTCCAATCCACCTACCATCTGATGTGGGCCGTTCCAATTTGCCTACCATCTGATGTGGACTGCCCGAATCAACCTTTGTCTGTCAACCTCTGCCAATCGGCCATGTTTTAAATGTTCTTGTTAAGTCATTTCTGAAATTTCCTATATAGATTCCTCTTGTTGCTGAGTTGTTCCTTGTTTATTTTGTGACTGGTTGGATGAATAAGATTGCTGCCAGATGCCGTATAATAATTGGACAGTGTACATTGTATCACCATTTCTTTGGCAGTAGTAGACAAATCTCTCCCAAAATTCATATGTAAGTCCCCTTTGTTATTTGTTTTCGATGTTTCATTTTGAGACAAATCAGAGAGACATTAGTTAGCCACAAGCAGTCTTTTTGGATTTTGAAGTTTGAAGTTTCAAATCACCAGTTCTCAAAAAGTACTTGATATATCTTCATAATTATGTAAGTTTCCCTTTGTCATTCATCATGCATGTTTTATTTTGAGACTGATCAGAAAATTAAGGTAGCAGCCTTGAGGCAGCCATTTTGGATTTTGACAGTTTAAAATTTGGTATTTCTCCAGAACTTGTAATAAGAGATCTTTCTCAAATTTCATTTGAAGGTTTCCATTGGTACTTCGTTTTCAGGATCACCAGAGTTATAGACCAAACAACAACATTTTGAAATTAAAGGACAATGTCAAACATAGCAGTATGAAGTTTTGATCAAAATTTCAAAAAGCTATATTTACTGTTGACAATTGATCAGAAAATACTAGAGAAAATATCAATCTTAAATAGATCCAATGAAGGTTTTAGTCCTTAGGTCATAGCCCGGAAAAGGTGGAGGGCCCTGTCATATTACTGTTTGTGTTTGGGCTTGAGGAATAGAACTGAAGCATGCTAAGGCTACCAGGCTGCACCTCTAGTGAGTTAGTCTCAGACATACTGGGGATCCCTTGCATGTCTGCTATGAAGTATCCTTGGGATCAGAGAAACAAAGCCTAAGATGAGGATTATATACTGCTTTAAATGAGGATATTTAACCTTGATTGCTTAAATATCCTGGTGAACAATACAGACTGTCTAGGCATTTTTTTTTTATATATAACTAGATGTAGAAGTAATCTTAGACTTAATTTGCTATCATGGTAAGGTGTATGTCTAATTCCCTGTCTTATACTGCCTTTACCTCACGCATAAGTTTGAACAATTATATTATTTATTTATTTATAAAATTATTTAGAAAAATATGGTGGGTTCACTTAAACATGGCAAAGGGGGTATAATAGTAAAATTAACAGTGGTTCATGTTACCGATACCTTGGGCTTCACAATGCTACACCAGTGCCGTCCTGGACTGTCAACTACAAGATTTATTGTGCACAAACACGTATGATTACCATATTAGGTGCCTTGTTAAAAACTCAAGCTTATGATAGATCACCAGATAATTGACCAGGTATTCACTTCTAGACAAAAAATTACAAATAACCAAATATTATGACTGCCAAGAATTCCTGCTGTAAAGTAATTGAAATAACTGATTATTGGACATCATAATGGAAAGACTGCCTCTGCACTATTATTGTTTCTTTTGATAATGAACATATCACCTCTGGTTCTTTTCTGTTGTAGGATCTTGCCCAGCTGACAACGGCGAATACGTCAATGGTGTGACATTTCCTGACAAAATGGCAGACGATGTACCCTTGCAGGGTGTTACCAAGGAGACGAGAAATGGTGATGTACACAAGCATGAGGCAGTAGGTGGCTTTGTGTTGGATTTTGATAAAAAAGCTGATGATGGGATTTACCCTACTGATGATCAGAAAGTCCCATCAGCATTCTGTGATGAGGATACTTTCATGGGTGATGCCCCCAGTGATCCGGTCCCGAGGGAACCAGAGATTCCTCTAGGAAGTGATGCCACCTCCTTTCCACAACAATGTGAGGATTTTGTCGGTTCTAATATTGATGATTCATTCTCACCTTTTAATTCAGAAATGAGTTCCTATTCCCAAACAGGAAGTCATGAGTCATTCCCAGCCTTTGGGGGTGAGCGGGAGATGGACCAAACCCCTGAAGCTCTTCCTGACCCTGTGCCCCCCATGGGCCATGAAAATGTACTTATAGATTTCTGTCAGGACAGCGATCAGCCTACTGATGTAAAATGTGATAATACAAATCCTTTTGTTGACTTGTCACCAGGGGTATTGCACCCATCTGACCCTTACATTGGTGTTGAGCCCAATAATGGGAACAACAAGGACACTGAACAAATTGTACAGTCTCCACTTCGGCCTGATGCTCCCGAGTTCTCTCCACAAGGACACAGCAATGCTGAATTTTCACCGCTGAGGCATGATGCTCCTGAGTTTCTACCACGCGAGCCTCAGCAGGCTGCAGTATTTGATCAGAGCCCACATTCAGGCGGTTTTGATGATATTGAAAGAAATAGTCTTTCTCAAAGTGACACTTTCGACAAACCAAATGAACAAGTGCAGGATGTGATAGACACTTTTGATAAATGCAAAGAGAATGTGCCTGTGCCTATTGAGGAACAGAGTGTACCTGCCATCAACATCACATCTGACCAGGGTGAGGATGATGAAGAATATTCTGGTGAAGAGGATTACTCAGAAAGTGAATCTAATTCACAAGCTGAGAACGATGAAATTATAGAGGATGACTACACAGATTCGGAGGACACTGAAAACATTCAAGATTCTGACGATGTGTCAGGGGGACCTGGTGAGGTAGCAGGAAGACCTGTGCTTGGTGATGGTATTGTACACCCTGCATTTGATCAGGGTTCTGTAAAGCCAGCATTTAGTGAGAACGAATTTCAGTTTCAGCAGCAGGGTTTGGCTGGTGTCATGTCTGCTGGACATGTAGAGCTCATGCCAAGTGTGGGTGCCGAGCCACCCGTGGTTGAAGGTATCACAGAACATGGAAAAGGGGAGCAGGTAAATGAGATGGGTAGCAGTCAGATAGACATGGCACAGGACTCGACAGAACAGCAACAGGTGGGTACCGAAGATTTCCAGAGGGATACTATCTGCAAAAGTGAAACATTCACTATCGAATCTGACTCTGACATGGAGGAGAGATCCATCACACCAGAACAGGACAGCATGAAGGCTGCTAGAAGTAAGCCTATGTCTGGTCAGGAGGACAGCCAATCTGCACAGGCACATGGTGGGGCATCTCCACCATTTAATTATAGCCAGATGGATCCATCATTAAACCAACAAAACATAAAACCTGCATTCAATCAGGGGCAAATTGAACCTGCATTCAATCAGGGGCAAGTAGAACCTGCATTCAACCAGGGTCAAATGGAACCTGCATTCAACCAGGGTCAAATGGAACTTGCATTCAGCCAGGGTCAAATGGAACCTGCATTCAGCCAGGAGAAAATGGAACCTGCATTCAATCAGGGGCAAATTGAACCTGCATTCAACAAGGGGCAAATGGAACCTGCAATCAATCAGGGGCAAGTAGAACCTGCATTCAACCAGGGTCAAATGGAACCTGCATTCAGCCAGGGTCAAATGGAACCTGCATTCAGCCAGGAGCAAATGGAACCTGCATTCAATCAGGGGCAAATTGAACCTGCATTCAACCAGGGTCAAATGGAACCTGCATTCAGCCAGGAGCAAATGGAACCTGCATTCAATCAGGGGCAAATTGAACCTGCAATCAATCAGGGGCAAGTAGAACCTGCAATCAACCAGGGGCAAATGGACCCTGCATTCAATCAGGGGCAAGTAGAACCTGCATTCAACAAGGGGCAAATGGAACCTGCAATCAATCAGGGGCAAGTAGAACCTGCAATCAATCAGGGGCAAATGGACCCTGCATTCAATCAGGGGCAAGTAGAACCTGCATTCAACATGGGGCAAATGGAACCTGCATTCAACCAGGAGCAAATGGACCCAGCATTCAACCAGGAGCAAATGGACCCTGCATTCAATCAGGGGCAAGTAGAACCTGCATTCAATCAGGGGCAAGTAGAACCTGCATTCAATAAGGGGCAAATGGAACCTGCATTCAACCAGGAGCAAATGGACTCTGCATTCAATCAGGGGCAAGTGGAACCTGCATTCAATAAGGGGCAAATGGAACCTTCATTCAACCAGGGGCAAGTAGAACCTGCATTCAACCAGGGGCAAATTGAACCTATAAAAAAACAGATGCAAAATGAACAAAAGGTGCTTGCATCAAACTCAGAAACAGGTAATGTAGGATTTTGTGGAGATGATGATATGTTCACTAACCAACCAGCGTTACAACAAGAACCTGATAATAAACAGCAGGTAGTATCTCAGGATGAACAGCAAACAGATTTTCAAAATGATATGATGCCAAGTGAAGGTTTCACAGAAGATCCCATGTTTCCCCTAGAGGACACATCCAAAATGGAGCTTTCTCCAAACAAACACCACGAACAGCCAGACTGCAGAGAAGATGTTGTAACTCCGAGAGAAGTACTGTTGGAGGACACATCAGAACAGAAATACCAGATGGAAAAATCTGGTGTTGAACATGACCAAACTGTACCCCTGATGTCTCCCTGTCAACAACTGGAAGATGCTGGCTTCTCACAGGTATTTAGTCAGGTGGTAGATGATTCTTTTATGGATAATGAAAATACACAGACAAACACAGAGACCCTTGGTGAACCAAACACACAGACGCATGCTTACGAAGATGAGGAAGGTGATGGTGATGAGGACAGAGATGAGGACATGCATCCAGATGACCAGTACTCATCATCATCAGGAGAGGAAGAGGAAGGGGCAGTGTCCCAGCAACCAAAACAGCAAGATGCTGCGCAACTTATGTCATCCAAGGAAAGACTTGTTTATCAACAAGAAGAAAAAACATCTTCAGAAGAAAGGTCGGCTTCCTTACAACAACAAAAGCTCACATCAGAAGAGAGGTCCCTGTCTCCAGAAGAATGTGATAGGAATGAAAACCCAGAGAGCAACTTTATGGAGAAAAGTTCACTCTTATCTGAATCACAGGACAAACTTGCATCAGAGGAAAGATCTCTATCTCCTGAATGTCATCCTTCAAATGACCAAAAGAAGATCGAGGAACAACGAAAATATGAAGAACAAAATGCACCTCAATCCTTTGAAAAGGAAACTCCTCCATTTGTACATGAGATGGTACCAGGGGAAATAGACCAGTCTACTATTGATGAAACCTATGGGGTGGCTCCTGCAACTTTTGAAGCTTCAGAGCTCGAGAGGATATCAAGTCATGACCAGGCTCCGAGTCCTGCTACAGTGGACACAGACAGGGATGCTCATACCTCTGGGAGAAATAGTGAGGACTTTGAATATGAACAAGGGGAGGACAGCTTGACTGCTGAGGGAGGCAGTGACTCTGATCAGGATCTGCCTAAACATTCTGATGAGGATGTGGATGTTCAACCAAATATCACAGATGACAGCCTCGCTGATCAGCCTGTTCACAGAGAAACTATTCTTAAAGAAATCAATGAGGAACAAGAGAGATTAGAAGCTGGAAGAGATATGAAGGAATCTGGTATGGGGGAGTCAATCATCACAGCAGACTCACAGGAAACTGATGACCAGTCACCATCAGAAATCCCCAGACAGATGCTGGAGGATTACGGTGACACAGAAAGATCTTTGACCTCAAGTATGGAATGTCAAACATACGAGGACGATGCTGGGGTATCCCCTGTCGAGATGGCTGCCTCCCTGATGGAGGGCTCAATGGTGCTAAAGGAGGGAGAGACGAACATTGATGGATCATCTCTCTCTCAATCTGTGCCCACAGAATCAGCATTAGAGGAGTACTCAAAGGACAGAATGGAGGATGAAGAAATTGAGAATATTAAACAACAACTTTCATCTGAGGTTTTAGAGGTTGAACCTAAATCAGCACATCTTGATCCACAGTTAAGAGTTACTGAGGATATCAGTGTTAGGGAGGATGTTCAGGAGGTTCATGCTGCTGAAGAGGAAGTTGTCTCTCCTGCTCCAATAGCTGAAACTCCAGTGCAACCTACTGCAGATCAGCAGGTAGTTGTACAAAAATTTACCACTGCTGTCCAACATGCTTCTACTCCTGAAACGGGGACTGAGAAAACTGATGTGAAACAAGACAAACTTGCTGACAAGATGGAAGGTGCTCCTACGAAAAATGTTGTGAAGAAAATCAATGAACCTGCTGAAAAGAAGTCACAAGTTACAGAAAAAATTGACAGAAAAGAGGCAAAACAAAGGAAACAGGAAAAACCTATTACAAAAACACCCCAGAAACCATTGAGAAAACCAAAGCAAAGAACACCACCTAAATCTGATGAATCTAAGATTCCTTCCCCAACCAAGACAGAGGGAGGCATAACCAAATCAACAACACGAACCCTCAGATCTGCTGCCCCCAGTAAGACTGCTCCTCCCCGTTCACTCAACATGAAACAGAGCACTGAGAAACCACCATTTGACACAAGTTTCCCACGAGCGGTATCTGCATCACGTCAGAGAATATTACCCCTGGCACAGACACCGAGCACACCAAGTCCTACCAAGGCCCCCTCCATGAAGATCCCCACCAGGACCCAGAACAAGGAGGCCACTCAGTTATTTCTGGAGCGCATGTCCCGGCCTCGCTGTCGAACACCGAAAAAAGGTTTTTCTCTCTCTTCTAATGTATCGACTGCTTCTGTCTTGGCAGATGCTCTGACTGCTGCCAATGATCGCTTCTGTCATGCTCACCCGCCTGTTTGCCACAGCATTGCCACCATTGCCACATTTGTGTATGCTTGTTGCCACACTCTTATACCTTTTTAATCAAGCTATTCATCATTCCATCCCATGTTCCATGAAGCATCGCTCTTAACATCATTGAATCATGGATTTCTGTCATGGGTAGCAATATGTGTATTGATTAGGATGTATTTTATTTTTGCATATAACGTAACACTGTCAGGTAATTACATGTAGCAGTAGAACTCTCTTACCCAACAAAGCACAATAGACTTGTCGAGATGAATTTAAGGGTGATTTTCACCTGTAAGTATAACTCACCATTGTTGACGTCATACCATTAGTCTACGACTACTATTGACGCATCTACTGGTGTAACTGGTAAAAGAATATAGGTAGAAATCAGGAAGGTGTATCCAATTACAAATGTAGATAGATATAAGACAGTAATTACGGTAATTGATTGAGGAAACTGGTATCATTGTTAAAGATGTGTAGTTATTTCAGTTATTTTTTTGAAAAATATATTTTGATAATTATCTTTTTAATTTTTTATTGTTGAATATTTTAAAACATATTTATATTTCTGAATTGTTTCCAATGAGCATGTTGTGTTTTCAACATTATCGATGTTGTTCAAAAAACTATATTTCCTATATTTTTCAAAGATTTGTTGTTCGTGATCATCTAGTTAGCCCACCTTGCCCAAAGGGTCCTATGAGCTTATGCTGTGGTGCCATGTTCGTTGTCTGGCCGTCTGTCGGTCAACTTTTCCTTCAAAACACTACTAGTCTAGAAAACTGAGTTGACTTTGAAAAAAAGGTCAGAGGATTGGGGCTCCATAGTGGAAAAACAAGGAACTCTTTAATATCCTTCTTCTTCAATATGGATAAAAAACTATTACCTAAATTTGAACTGAAACATCCTTGAGCTAGTGTGACCCTTAGGGCTTGAGTAAATCAGTAGATGAATTTGGGTGAACTGCTGTTTTCAGATTCCCACAAAATAGCCACAGCATCCACACACAAACTTGGCACAGACAGACAAATAGATCCCTGCTCCCAGGATTAGTACTGGCTTTCAGCCCCACCCTAATGACTTAGTCCCTGTCAGCCCCACATCCTTATGACTTAGTACCTCTCAGCCCCACCCTAATGACTTAGTCCCTGTCAGCCCCACACCCTAATGACTTAGTCCCTGTCAGCCCCACCCTAATGAATTAATCCCTGTCAGCCCCACCCTAATGACTTAGTCCCTATCAGCTCCACCCTAATGACTTAATCCCTGACAGCCCCACACTAATGACTAAGTCCCTGTCAGCCCCACCCTAATTACTTATTCCCTGACAGCCCCAACCTAATGACTTAGTCCCTGTCAGCCCCACCCTAATTACTTATTCCCTGTCAGCCCCACCCTAATGAATTAGTCCCTATCAGCTCCACCCTAATGACTTAGGCCCTGACAGCCCCACACTAATGACTAAGTCCCTGTCAGCCCCACCCTAATGACTTAGTCCCCGTCAGCCCCACCCTAATTACTTATTCCCTGACAGCCCCACCCTAATTACTTAGTCCCTGACAGCCCCACCCTAATTACTTATTCCCTGACAGCCCCACCCTAATTACTTAGTCCCTGACAGCCCCACCCTAATGACTAAGTCCCTGTCAGCCCCACCCTAATGACTTATTCCCTGACAGCCCCAACCTAATTACTTATTCCCTGCCGGCCCCACCCTAATGACTTAGTCCCTATCAGCTCCACCCTAATGACTTAGGCCCTGACAGCCCCACACTAATGACTAAGTCCCTGACAGCCCCAACCTAATTACTTAGTCCCTGACAGCCCCACCCTAATTACTTATTCCCTGACAGCCCCAACCTAATGACTTAGTCCCTGTCAGCCCCACACCCTAATGACTTAGTTCCTGTCAGCCCCACCCTAATGAATTAATCCCTGTCAGCCCCACCCTAATGACTTAGTCCCCGTCAGCCCCACCCTAATTACTTATTCCCTGACAGCCCCAACCTAATGACTTAGTCCCTGTCAGCCCCACCCTAATGACTTATTCCCTGACAGCCCCAACCTAATTACTTATTCCCTGCCGGCCCCACCCTAATGACTTAGTCCCTATCAGCTCCACCCTAATGACTTAGGCCCTGACAGCCCCACACTAATGACTAAGTCCCTGTCAGCCCCACCCTAATGACTTATTCCCTGACAGCCCCAACCTAATTACTTAGTCCCTGACAGCCCCACACTAATGACTAAGTCCCTGTCAGCCCCACCCTAATTACTTATTCCCTGTCAGCCCCACCCTAATGACTTAGTCCCTATCAGCTCCACCCTAATGACTTAGTCCCTGACAGCCCCACACTAATGACTAAGTCCCTGTCAGCCCCACCCTAATGACTTATTCCCTGACAGCCCCAACCTAATTACTTAGTCCCTGACAGCCCCACACTAATGACTAAGTCCCTGTCAGCCCCACCCTAATTACTTATTCCCTGTCAGCCCCACCCTAATGACTTAGTCCCTGTCAGCCCCACCCTAATGACTTAGTCCCTGTCAGCCCCACCCTAATGACTTATTCCCTGTCAGCTCCACCCTAATGACCTACTCCCTGTCAGCTCCACCCTAATGACTAAGTCCCTGACAGCCCCACACTAATGACTAAGTCCCTGTCAGCCCCACCCTAATTACTTATTCCCTGTCAGCTCCACCCTAATGACCTACTCCCTGTCAGCTCCACCCTAATGACTAAGTCCCTGACAGCCCCACACTAATGACTAAGTCCCTGTCAGCCCCACCCTAATTACTTATTCCCTGTCAGCCCCACCCTAATGACCTAGTCCCTGTCAGCTCCACCCTAATGACTAAGTCCCTGACAGCCCCACACTAATGACTAAGTCCCTGTCAGCCCCAACCTAATTACTTATTCCCTGTCAGCCCCACCCTAATGACTTAGTCCCTATCAGCTCCACCCTAATGACTTAGTCCCTGACAGCCCCACACTAATGACTAAGTCCCTGTCAGCCCCACCCTAATGACTTATTCCCTGACAGCCCCAACCTAATTACTTAGTCCCTGACAGCCCCACACTAATGACTAAGTCCCTGTCAGCCCCACCCTAATTACTTATTCCCTGACAGCCCCACCCTAATGACTTAGTCCCTGTCAGCCCCACCCTAATGACTTAGTCCCTGTCAGCCCCACCCTAATGACTTAATCCCTGTCAGCCCCACCCTAATGACTTAGTCCCTGTCAGCCCCACCCTAATTACTTATTCCCTGTCAGCTCCACCCTAATGACCTACTCCCTGTCAGCTCCACCCTAATGACTAAGTCCCTGACAGCCCCACACTAATGACTAAGTCCCTGTCAGCCCCACCCTAATTACTTATTCCCTGTCAGCTCCACCCTAATGACCTACTCCCTGTCAGCTCCACCCTAATGACTAAGTCCCTGACAGCCCCACACTAATGACTAAGTCCCTGTCAGCCCCAACCTAATTACTTATTCCCTGTCAGCCCCACCCTAATGACTTAGTCCCTATCAGCTCCACCCTAATGACTTAGTCCCTGACAGCCCCACACTAATGACTAAGTCCCTGTCAGCCCCACCCTAATGACTTATTCCCTGACAGCCCCAACCTAATTACTTAGTCCCTGACAGCCCCACACTAATGACTAAGTCCCTGTCAGCCCCACCCTAATTACTTATTCCCTGTCAGCTCCACCCTAATGACCTACTCCCTGTCAGCTCCACCCTAATGACTAAGTCCCTGACAGCCCCACACTAATGACTAAGTCCCTGTCAGCCCCAACCTAATTACTTATTCCCTGTCAGCCCCACCCTAATGACTTAGTCCCTATCAGCTCCACCCTAATGACTTAGTCCCTGACAGCCCCACACTAATGACTAAGTCCCTGTCAGCCCCAACCTAATTATTTATTCCCTGTCAGCCCCACCCTAATGACTAAGTCCCTGACAGCCCCACACTAATGACTAAGTCCCTGTCAGCCCCCACCTAATTACTTATTCCCTGTCAGACCCACCCTAATTACTTATTCCCTGCCAGCCCCACCCTAATGACTTAGCCCCTGTCAGCCCCACCCTAATTACTTATTCCCTGACAGCCCCAACCTAATGACTTAGTCCCTGTCAGCCCCATAGTCATTAGTGTGGGGCTGTCAGGGACTAAGTAATTAGGGTGGATCTGACAGGGTCTAAGTCATTAGGGTGGGGCTGTCAGGGAATAAGTAATTAGGGTGGGTCTGACAGGGAATAAGTAATTAGGTTGGGGCTGACAGGGTCTTAGTCATTAGTGTGGGGCTGTCAGGGACTAAGTAATTAGGGTGGGGCTGACAGGGAATAAGTAATTAGGCTGGGGCTGACAGGGACTTAGTCATGAGGGTGGAGCTGACAGGGAGTAGCTCATTAGGGTGGAGCTGACAGGGAGTAGGTCATTAGGGTGGGGCTGACAGGGAATAAGTCATTAGGTTGGGGCTGACAGGGACTGAGTCATTAGTGTGGGGCTGTCAGGGACTAAGTCATTAGGGTGGGGCTGCCAGGGAATAAGTAATTAGGTTGGGGCTGACAGGAACTTAGTCATTAGTGTGGGGCTGTCAGGGACTAAGTAATTAGGTTGGGGCTGTAGGGAAATAGGTCATAGGGTGGGGCTGACAGGGACTTAGTCATTAGAGTGGGGCTGTCAGGGACTTAGTCATTAGGGTGGGGCTGTCAGGGAATAAGTAATTAGGATGGGGCTAACAGGGAATAAGTAATTAGGGTGGGTCTGACAGGGACTAAGTCATTAGGGTGGGGTTGACAGGGAATAAGTAATTAGGTGGGGGCTGACAGGGACTTAGTCATTAGAGTGGGGCTGTCAGGGACTTAGTCATTAGGGTGGGGCTGTCAGGGACTA